TGTTCAATTATCAATCGTCCCATTCAATCTCCATCTGACGCCATGCTAGAGCAGAATGAAAGAAAATGGGCAAAAACGAAGAGTGAACCAGATAAAAGAACATGGCAATCCCAAGTTATAAAATCAGATAAAACAAAGCCTTACTGCATGAGGATTCAGATTTTAGAAGAGATCGTACACATCAAGGAGGAGAGAAGGTTGGGAAAAGGTTTAGTTGAGGTTGATTTCTCATTTCGTCTGAAGGAGGAGAGAAAGAGGAAGCGAGGGTTTTGAATACTTAACTTCTATGGCAACAATTGCTATTTTCTCCTCTTTGCGAAGAAGAAGAACACCATACTCGGAGGCTTTCTTGGCTGCAGTCCAGCTCAGCGATGTCGCGCTGGTTCAGATGCTCTTCATTGTTGCTAATGAGTTGATCTCGTCCTTTTCGAATCGAGCGTTCCCCTTCCAACGGAAGAATTCTAGGTTGCTGATTTGGAAGATAGAGGTCTTTGTCGTCCTCTTTGATTTTCTCAGGGATTCTGGCTCGACTCTTTCGTCTACTGTTGTTCTTTGTCTGAAGGAACTTTATCTTCTCATTTATCGGTCAAAGACTCTTCTAGATTATTGCTCCCAATCGATCCGATTGTGGCTTCTCCTACAAAATTCCTCGATTTCTGGCCACTTCCATGACCTCAACCAAGAAATCTCCACCCTTCTTGACGTTTTGCCGTTGAAAGAGCTTAGTCTAACTCCCGACGTTAGAGAGCATTTACAGCTTATGCGGAAGCAAGCACGAAGAGCCAAGTTATTTGTTGATCAACATGATGAAAATCTCAGACTCCACCTCTACTCTTTCCTTGATGAATTCGAGCAGGGACGAATACTTGATGCCGCAGAACTTCAGACATTCTTTATCGAAAAATTGGGGATTCAAGAGGCAAAAATTTCTAGAACCGAGATTGAGTTTATAGAGGAGCACATTTACAATAACGAAAGGGGATGTTGAGCCAACTGTACCAGTACTCAATGGCTGTCTTGCACTCACCAGATATTGCAGATTCTTGCTTTTCGGATTTGAGGAAGAAGAAGAAATGGGTTCCGGGAATCAACATATATATATATTCTATATTGTTATATAAAGGGTAAAATGATAATTTATTAACAACCGTTAGTTAGTCCGTACGTCAAGTTTGTGACGTTGTGAATTTTAGACGTTTTGAAAAGTTATGATGAGTTCAAGAGAAATGCTGATGAATTTTGAACAATTTTTAATTTTGAAACACTTGCCTAGTCAGTCAAATCTTCTCTCTTCCCTTTCTTTGCCAAAAAAAATAACATTAAGCCCCGCTCTCTTCTTTCTGTATCTTGTTCTCCCTGCCTCTCCCATTCAAACTCTCCACCAACCATCTCTCTCTCTCCATCGGGCTAATTCCACAACCCATTTTTTGCAGAAACTCTCCATCGGTATTGCTTAACATTTAAGAATAGGTTTAAGAAAACCCTAAACCAATATAATTTACTATTTATTGTTTACTAGTTGCAACCATATTGAAACTCAGATTGGGAGCCACCTGATCCTTTTCGACCATCTTTTCATTTTTCTCAAACAAGTGTATCACCTCAGGCAGCTTATTTTGGTCAAGGTAGTGCTTCCTAGAGTATAGCAGATCAGCTCACCAATGGTGATCTCAGTTTGATTACCAGAATATAATACTGATGTATTAGAAAAGAAAATATAGGAGCTTTTGTTGCCGATGAGCATATTGAACTTGGATTTGCAGCAGGCAACGGAGTAGACTACAAAATGAAAAAAAATTAAATGCATTAATTTAATTTGTTTTTTAGGAGTTCTATTGCCATATACCACTACTGTATTTTGCTTAAGTGATGGTTGTTTTGTCATTTTTTGGGCTTAAAATAAGTAAAACATAAAAAACATGAATTCTTATTTGATGTTTTAATGTGTTCACTGATATGATATGAGTACTCAACAATCTACATCTGATCATACATCTTATAAAATGGGTTGTGGAATCAGTCCGGTGGAGAGAATGAGAGAGAGAGAGAGAGATTGCTAGTGGAGACTTTGATCATAGGAGGCAAGGAGAGGGAGGCTTAAATCTTTTTGGTAAAGAAAGAGGAGAGAGAGGATTTGATTGACTAGGCGGGGGTTTCAAAATTTTAAAAATAATAAAATTAACTTAGGGCAAAAAACTAACATCAAGTGTGAGGAAAGCACCACTCCGTTACCCCCTAGTAATGTGGCTTTAATTTGTTGGTGGTTGCAGAGTTTTTTTTCTGAAGTCATGTTGCAGACGATATGAACTCTTACACTATAGATAGGACATTTTATGTCAAGACCAAGCTTTAGGCTTTGTATAAGGGCCAGGCTCAGATTCAAGATCTAGGCTTGATGATTAGGTCAGGCTTGAGCTTGGGCTTACATATTCTCTTAAGAAAGAGGCAAAGCCTGGCCCGACCCATGAGTAGGGTCTATTTATAACTAAGTTGCACTCTTATCTTATATAAAATTGTTTTTTTTTTTTTTTTTTTGCCTCATTTACATTAACTGGCAGTGCAAATTTTGCATCCCAAATTTAATGCAAAATTTTCACCACTTTCCTCCTACCTCAATTCTCTCATATAAAGTGGCTTGTATCACTTCTAAATAGACAATCCTCAATTGTCAATTCTATTTCCTATAAAATTAAGACCACCTTATTTTACTTTGGTTGTGCTTGGTAAGAGTGCAAATGCAAAATGGTTCATGAAAATTCAAAAATGTAGTTTGGTTGTGTATTGATAAATTAAACTTTGTATTCTTAGCAAATATAATTGGTTTTGATGGGTACAAATGCGGATTCCAGAACCTACCATTTTTACAATGACAACTTTGAGTGCAAAAATTTGCTTCCATTTGTTGGAAACAAAATCTGCTCTCATTTAAAACATATCAAAATCAAACAAATTTATAGTCATTTTTAGTACAAAAGTATATTTTTACCAAATGCCTACAAAATTGAACCAGAGTGCAAGTTCAGTTCAATCCAGTATTTCCATTCTTATCAATTCACTGCAAATCTTGACCATGTGCAAAATTTGTACTCAATTTAGTTTGCTTTCATTTATTTGTAATTATGATTTTGTATTTCTACCTGATACAAAATTTATACTTTTGTCTCTTTTGTAGTCATTAACAATGCAAATTTTGCATCACCTTCCTCCTACCTCAATTCTTCCTCGTATAAAGTGGAAACCACATCATCTTGCATCTACTTTGCTCCTACAAAGATAACCCCTACCTCCATTCACTTTCATTTAAAATGGAGGTAACTTCATTTTACTTCTTATTTTGTTTTTCACAAACAAATACGACAATCTGAAATCTATAGCCAAAAAGTAAATCAGAATTTACACTCGGGCCTTTGGCATTTACGCCCATGCAAATGAAATCTTTACTGCAACCAGATGTAGTGCTACTATTTCTCATAAAGCGGCATGAATGTCAAGCACCCACAAAATAAAATCGGCCACATCATAGTTGATAGACAAACACAAAACTAAAGACAGAAAACCGTACAAATTTTGCTCAATTGGAATTGATGACCATGTGCACGGCCAGTTATTAATCCAAACTCCTCCCTCTGCTCCCCTTGGAAAAAAGATTTAATTCGTGGGCGCACCATGTATAGAGGTAATCTGTAAGACTGTAACAAAGATGCAGATTGGACCGGGTTAGGTAGGGTTGATGTCAATCTCAATCCAAATGGAATTATTGAATCCTCATCCTGATGATTTCGGGTGGGTTACGAATTGAGTGGGCCTGATTTTTTTTTTTTTTCACTTATAACATGCCTAACAATTTCGGTGCAGTTAGTTTAATTTTTGAAAATTTTGGTTTTGGTTTTCAAAATTAGAAATTCAGTTATTTCGATTTTTCATTATTACAGTTTCGGTTCAATTTTTACTTTATGTTTCTGTTTATTTGATTGAGCTTTTAATTGATTTCGGTTTTTCATTATTTTAGTTTCGGTTTAGTTTTTCCTTTACAATTTCTGTTTATTTGATTCAATTATTAACGAATAAACTGAATATTCACCCCTAATTATTACTTGCCATGTGGCATATGTTTTTTGGGTTCGATTAAGATATCTATAAAGCATCCGATCAATCAACTGGAATCATAAACTTGGTATCGAATCAAGTGTTGGGTTTAGGGTGGAGTTAGACTTATTTGAGAAATTCCGAAGCTGACCCGATAAAAATGGGTCCATTGGGATCAGATCAATCCGTCGAGCTATCCATCCTATGAATAGGTTTAATTGCAAATAAATAGATGCAAAGCAGTTTGTAACCAGTTCAGATTTGCACTGTCAATTGCTACTGCAATTTTTTGGCATTTGGTGCTATATTTGTGGGATTCGATTTTGCATTAACGCTAGAACAAACCAGCTAAAACTGTGATGGGATCTGCGCCTCACGGATACATCCACCGTATATTGAAACATATCCTGTGAATTATAACTAATAAGTACGAGAAATGTGCGTGAGAGGCGTATGTGAGGCGACAGGGGTGAGGAGCAGATCCGGACTCCTAGGTGCATGTGCTGCTGCAATTTGACCACTACAATTACAATCGGACTCCCGAACCGACCACTTTTGGGATCAATGCAGGTCAAAGTGGTTAACAGTCCGGTCCGGTCTAAACACTGACAGGTGGTTTTCCACTTGTTACTTTTCAATCAGAAGTAGAAAAGAAACAAGGACAATGCATTCAGGCAACACTGATGACCGATGTACTCATCCTTGATTTCATATTTCTCTCCCACCTAATTAATCTACTTTCAAAATCATAGCCGTTAGATTGAAGATCGAGTAGAAAGTCAATCTAACGAGCGAGGTAAATTAAGTCCTTTCCGATAACAAGAGCCGCAGACGTCTCTGGTCCCTATTTTAATATTTTCCAGTGAAGGGTAGTTTCGCAATTGTAAGTATCTATGGCTCAAGACAAATCGTTCTCTCTCTCTCTCTGATAAAAGCCTCGCCTTTGGTTAGTTTTAAGTGAGTCCTCTCCCGTCGTCGGCTTCGACAAAATTTCCTCGGTTTCATGACTCTTTTCTGCCATCGCCATGGAATCTAGGCCACAGCAAGGAGGTGAGGCAGCTTCTTTCCTTTCTTCTTCTGTTTCTTCACTTAATTATATTTTATTCGAATTTCTTCTGCAACGCCATTAGATTCATCTGTCGGTGTTATCCGGTTTCGTGTTTTTCGTTTCTCTTTTGGTAGACTGTATTGATACTTTTTCTGTATGCGTTCTGGGGATTATTTTTTTAGCGTTTGGATGCGAAGTTGCGAGAATCTTGAGGTTTTTTGGGTTCGGATTGACCTGGGGACAAGAATAGAGGATTTTTGATTGATTGGTGCTATTGAAATCTTCTAAAAATGTTGTGAGGTTGTGATTTTTGATCTTCAGATGGGAGTTAATAAATGGATAAAAGTGAGCTCTCTGTGAAGTTTGTTTGTGTTTAGATGGGATAATATATTTCAAGGCTTGGCTAATTTAATTTACTTTGATTGATAAAAGAAATTACTTTGATTGATTTAATGTATTCTTATTTGTCGTGCTATATGTTGCTTTTTGTTGATTGTGTCAGAATTCAATATTTCCTCTGATCCAGAAATAATCCGTCTGGGGTTTTTGAGGTGCAATTTTTAGTAATATCATGTTTTTGACGCCTGAATAGTCTTGGGGTGAAAGTTTAGGAAGTTTAAGTTTTTCTAGTTTGTTTTCCTCGAATCTTTTCTGTGATTTTGAAAATTGTTGATACTTAATCCATTTAAATCTGCGTTGTGACAAATCATTCTTTTTATTAAGTTTATCTCTTATTCAGTTATTGGGTTCTTCTTGCTAGAAATTATTTTGAATGTGTTACCATGGTAAGCTTTTGTGATGGATTTTGGTCTTGGGAGGGATAGAAACGGAGGTTGAGTTTGTTTTTATTTTGTGCAATGGTTGGCTGGTCTCATTGAATCAACTCATAGAGTTGCATTGCATGGTTTGATAAATGAGTTCCCACATCCAATTAATAAGATGCTAACTTCTCATTAAAAGACCATTATCCAATGTTAGTCCCAGCTATATGCGGTTTTGGGAGGGGTAGGTACGGTCTTAACCTTTGGCATTTTTTTGCACAAAGTGACTGCCCTCAGAGTCAGTCCTGCATTGTCACACTTGCCAGTCCGAGCTTTTACCATTAGACCAAGTAATGTCGTAGGGGACACTAAAAGTTTTGCGCGGGAAATGCACAGGGGTGAAGCCTACCAGTTGGACTTTGGACAGTGCAATTTAGTATGGTTAAGTTTTAATTGGAGCTTCTGATGATCAGGTTTAAGGAAATTGATTTACCCTCATTTTTGTAGTCAAATTTGTTAAGTTGGTGACTTTGTGTTCAATTGTTCTCAAAATGAGCATCTGGTTAGTGTCCTCAATTCATATAGATGCTTTTAAAATTTTACATTATACAAAGCACTTTTTTGAATTATACCAACAAAACATGTGCTTTATTAAATTATCACTTGCCAGGTTGATCTCCTTTAATGGTCTTGAATGTAGGGCTGTCAATGGACCAGATATTGGTCCAATGTGATCCGATCAAGTATGAGTCCATTACAGATGGACCAGGCCGAATCCAATCCGGTGAATACTTTGGACCTTTTTGGACTGGTCCAATTCAATGTCTGGACTGCCCAAACTGTTCAAATTGGTTTTAATTTAGATTGGGTCCAACCCAAACTTGGTCCATTGACACCCCTACTCGAATGCTTTCAATATGAGCTGACTTAGTTACCTAGGTATTAATATTGGTGTTTTGGCTATGGGTTGGCTTTACAGTTAGAAGCTTGGGGATGATATATAATTCCTCTCTTTAAAGAGAGCAATTGGGTTCTCAATTTGACTGAGATTTATGTTCTGGATTTATACTTTCTTAATTGTTTTTTTTGGGTTTGATTGCATGAAGAAAAGAAAACTCCCTTCTTTAGGGGGAGGGTGGGATTTCTTCTTTGGGTTGTTCTCAATCCTCTTTCAATGTGTGTTTTTTGGAACACTTTGTTCGGGGGTGGATAGAGGTGTAAATCGGGCTGTGCCGCCCGTGCCACCCGTGGCCCGACATGAATTTGGACCGGCTCGACACGACAGTCTATGGGCCATGCTAGGCCCGACACAATCGTGTGGGCTGTGCTGGGCCTGGGGTTTTAGGTCCCCAGGCTGGGCCGACACGGCACGACCGAACGGGCCGTGCCGCCTGCGGCCCGTGTGCTGGCATGACCCAACACGACCCATATATATTATTTATATATATAATATGTATATATTTTATATATTTATATATATAATATGTTATATAGTATATAATATATTAATAAAATACAATTGTTTTCAATTTTATTATACTAATTTATTTAATTATTGTATATATAAGCAATTATACACATCAAAATTCATATAAAATTAAAATTTTAAGTTTTTTTTTCAATTTTTTTAAATAAATAGCTTTGGTTGGGTCCATGGCCTGGCCTGGCCCAAGGCTTGGCCCACGGACCAGAATGGCCCGCGGCACAGCATGGGCCTACACGGGCTTGGGCCATGGGCCGTGCCAGGCCGACCCCCCAAGTTATCCTAGGGGAGGGCGGCACAGCTTGGGACGGCCCGAGGGCCGGTGTGGCATGGCCTGCACTTTGCGTGGGCCACTCGTGGGCCGTGTCATGCCGGCCCGGCACGACCCGTTTTACACCTCTCGGGGAGGATCTAGCATCTTAAAAAGTAATATTTGGTAAAAATTGTGAAATAAATTTGATATCAGTAGTTCAGTTTTTCATGTATGGCTCTTGCTTTGGATACCTTGTTCAATTGTATACTAGGGAATCAAATAATCTAGCTTATGATCTTGTCAAGGTGAGGGTTGGAGGAAAAATTAGATTCATTGTATTGTATGGAGCAGAGTCTTGTGCAGTCAAGAAATGGAACATCCAAAAGATGAGGGCAGAAGAAATGAAAATGTTGAGATGGATGAGTGGGAAACTAGGAAGGATAGGATTAAAAATGAATTCACCTGAAGGAACCTAGGAGTAGCTCCAATAGGTGACAAATTCAGGGAAAGTATACTAAGATGGTTTGGTCACATAAAGAAAGAATACCATCTACAGCACATTGAGAAGAAATAACGTCTTACAACTTACAAGTTGAAGGGTGTAGAAGAGCTAGGGGCAGACCAAAAATGGCATGAAGTAGGTGTTGAGACAAAGCTTAGTTCAGTGAATTTGAGTTTGATATGTAGGTATTGATTGATTAAATGGAGGAATATTTTAGGATAGTACTATGTAAAAACTTCCCTTGCTTATATCCTTTAGCTGAAAAACTGTTGTCTGGTTGTCCTGCCCTGAAGAAATCTTTACCCTGTAAATTTGTCCAAGTTGTTGCCTCTTATAGTGTTCTTGTGAATGTTTAGAGGAGTTTGAGTTGTCCAAAATATAAGGAAGTAAGCCAATTCATCCGGTCAGTTTTTGACCTGGACAATCTACAGACATGCGGCCCAGGCAGGTTGTAAGAAACCTAAGCCCACGCCCTTAACCAAGCAAATTCATATCAATCTTGAGGGTTAAAACAAGTCCACTCCATGTTTAAGTAATAAATTATGTTACACAAAACATATTGCTTTCACTGTACTTTTACATCATACTGTAAAAAAAACTGTACTCTTACATCATCTGTCTCAAACTTCCAAACCACCAGTCCAACCCTTTTGTTCTGTATTATCAGTCAGTGCATCTCTTCGTCGGTTTGTGATTTGGAAGTCTAAGCCCAACCCATTCTTATAAAATGGTATTCCAACATGACTTACAGTCTCTGCCCAGTTGTTCAACTTGGTTTGATCTAGGCGTCCCTTTTATTTTGAGGTCTGGCCCAACATGTCATATCTAAAAGAGGTTTGAAATACGTCTCTTCTTTACTTTCTATCCTGATCTTATTATCCTATATATTCTTTATGGTGAAGCTGCTATCTGTGAATTTTTTGTTATGATGCTGATAGTTGTTTACAAGATTACAGCCTTTTTATTCTTTTATCTGTTGAATGATGATTTAATTCATTATTCATTCCTGTACTTCACTTCACATTTGGAACTTGACTTGTTGGATTACAGCCAGCAATCCTCCACCAAAACCTTGGGAACGAGCAGCTACCTCGTCTGGTCCTGCACCTTTTAGACCTTCATCACCTGGAAGCACAAGTGATGTAGTTGAAGCTTCAGGAACTGCAAAGCCTGGAGAAATTGTTTCAACTGCTGATAGAAACACCACTGTAAACAGAAATACTCTAGGTAGGCCTGTACCCACCAGGCCATGGGAGCAGAACTATGGAAGCAGTTATGGAGGTAATTGGTAGTTGCAATCAAGTTGTTTTCTTGTTTACGTTTTGGAGCTTGCCAATTTAATTATCTTTGCAGGTTATGGTTCAGGTCTAAACTATAACTCAGGCTATGGATCTGGAATGTATGGGTCATATGGTGGATATGGAGGAATGCAAGGTGGTGGGATGTATGGTAATACCATGTACAGAGGAGGGTATGGTGGCCTTTATGGAGGTTCAGGAATGTATGGTGGAATGTACAATGGTGGCCTTGGCGGCCCAATGGGTGGTTATGGGATGGGCATGGGTGGTCCTTATGGTGATCAAGATCCAAATAATCCTTTTGGTGCACCTTCATCACCACCAGGCTTTTGGGTTTCCTTTCTTCGTGTGGTAAGGCAATTGATCATTTTGTTTCATATAGCTATACATGATCTTGTTAAGATACATTTTCTGGATTACCTTCATAGCTCCATTTAGAAATATATTATATATGATATTTCCATAGTTTAAATTTAGTTCAATGTAAACATGGTCTTCTCTTCCAGTTAATAAATATGACTTGGATTTCGCCTATTCATTGCAGTATATGGATTAATGGGGTAAATAACATAGCAGTAAGTGTGAAAAGGTGAAGGGGAATGATAATATTACTGTTTTGTTATTGATCAAAATAAATAAATAAATAAATAAATAAATAAAAGCTACTATCTTCTACCTGTTAGGAAATTCTTGAATTAGAGAAAATTGAAAAATTTATCAGAAATAATTTAAAATCCATTCAAATAATAAAAGCTCCTTATAATTCCTATATACACAGTTTATAAGAAATTAAATCCAAATGTCATCATTAATTGATACCCTATCAGTAAATCTGCCATAACTTTCTGATGGCACATTAGTTTTGAATGATATTGGTCTTGTTGGATGGCTAATTAAAAAAACTAAATCTATCCAATGACACTTTAATATCAACCCTGTTGGTAAATCTGCCATAACTTTCTGGTGGCACATTAGTTTTGAATGATATTGGTCTTATTGGATGGCTAATTGAAAAATCTATCCAATGGAAATTTAATCATTGAGAAAGGATGAGTTTTGATTCCTTCAATATCGGGTCACAGAAAAGTGGAAAACATAAACACTAAGGCTATGTTTGGTTTGAAGGAAAAAGTAGGGAAGGGAAGGGAAACGTAGGGAAACCTATACATGGCTTGTATAGGTTTCCCTACGTTTCCCTTCCCTTCCCTACTTTTTCCTTCAAACCAAACACAGCCTAAACCCCAGATTATTAACAGTAATGACAATTCATATTCCAACCCTAAAAGTAAGACCTTCACCATCCTTGTCCTACATCAGTGAACCTAATAAATGATTATATACCCAGAAGTTGTATTTGATAAACATTTCTGGGATCCCAGCTTAGATCTTTTTTGGGATGCTTCTCTTTTTCATAATTGCATTTTCTGTTTGGATTTTTGTGTTAATGAATAAAAGCAACTTAATGATTTTTTAGGTCAATGAATAAAAGCAAAAGTAAAAAACAAACAAACCAGAAAACTTCATTCTAACTCTGCTTCTCTTTTATGTTTCTTTTCTCTTCTCTTGATAAATCTTTTTAAATTGTTAGCAATGTTTTAAAACAGGGAGGCATGACACGAGGCATTCCACTACTTGGGGTGTGAGGCATAGTTCAGAACGTAAGAGGCGTAAACCTCCTTAAGAGGAGGGGGATAAGGAGGAAAGGAGGGGGAGGAGGAGGAAGAAGAGGAGGATCTCATTTTTCTATGTTTCCAATAAAAATCTTTTATATTAAGAAGAACGAAGATGCACAACATTAGATGAAAGGGGGTCTTGTCGAAGTGGAGGTGAGCGAGCTGGATCAGAGCAAGACCCCTTGGCACAAAAACCAAATTGGGCTGCATTGAGAAGGGGCTCCATCCCACTTTCTTTCCGCTTATCTTTTCTTTCCCTTCCCTTCCCTTTTCTTTTCTTTCTTTTCTCTTTTTTCCTTTTCTTTCTTCTTTTTTTTCTTTCTTTTTCTTTCCCTTCTCTTTCCTTTTTTCCTTTTTTTCTTTTTTTTTTCTGTCTTATTGTGTGAGGTGAGGTGCATGCCTCATGAATCTTGCACATGAGGTGTACGCCTTAGAGGTATCAATGCCTCTGGCATACGCCTCAGTGTTTTTTGGGGTCTCCTCGCCTGGAGGGACACCTCCAGGCGTATGCCTCCCACTCCTTTTAAAAAACTGATTGTTAGATGAAGAAAAATCTGTCAAGATGTGCAAAGTAGAGTCTTGCTGACTGGACTAAGAGCAGCTAAATATCTTCATTTCCTTTACCACTGGAAGGAAATCCAGAAAATTCCAATAGGTAGAGAATGGTTTGGTACCCATAGAGAATACCTGAACTTGTTGTTGCTCATTGGTTCAGTTAAGTTGGATTGGAGGGATCAATTCCAAGCAAATGACCTGGCAGTTCCAGGTTTTGGGAGCAGTGTTACATGTACTCTCCTAAGGAATGAGGCATCCATGTCTGACATGCACCAGGTTCTTACACTGGTATTGATTCTTGAGGGAGCGCTTCATGGCAATATTTCTTTTATTTTTTCTTTCCTTGATCATTTGACATAAATGAACAACTAATATACATGAGAAATGCTATTTTACAGGCATTAGTAGGTAAATTGGTAACAGACTCCTCTTCTCTAGGCATTTCTCATGCTATTTTCATACAGAGCATGAGAAATGCTATATATATAATTCTTGGTGAATCAGATTCCCCTAGCAATTCCTGTGTCTGTGTCCATAGACCATAGACTCCATACAACAGTAGTTGGTTAGGCTTGTGGCATATAGGGATGGTTAGATTCTGTTGTAGGCTTGTAGGATTGGCTTATTTTTATTTATTTTTTCTCACACTATACATATCCTAGTTGGACGCTTTTCCTTTATATACATTAAGATTATACATTTGATGCTAATCAGAACTCGGAAGAGATGATTTGATGCATGGATGCAATGCGTAGACAAACCATGTTGTCATGTCATGATATTTAAGTTTTTTAATGATTAATGGAATTTCTTCTTTTCTTGTCTATGTGCTATGCTATAACTGAAATGGTTCTCTTGGTGGCAGATGCACGGTGTGGTGACATTTTTTGGTCGGATTTCAATTCTCATAGACCAGAACACACAGGCATTCCACATGTTCATGACTGCACTTCTTCAGGTGCTTCCTTTGCTTTCTACCCTTTTTTTTTTTTTTAATCTCCCAATAAAATTGCTATACTTCAGATTGAACCCTGTTTGTGCCCATTAGCAAAATCTGATCTATCTGATGCTATATGATATTTCTTCTTTTTTTGGCTATGCTCTAGCATAAGTTGATGGTTATATAACCTGTGATTTATTTTTCAGCTCTTTGATCGATCTGGGATGTTGTATGGGGAGCTTGCAAGGTTTGTATTAAGGTTGCTGGGAATCAGAACAAAGCCCAGGAAAGTTCATCCGCCTGGCCCACACAATCCCCAAGGTGGTCAGAACCTCATCGAGGGACCAAAAATTGCTCCAAGTAATTCATGGGACACTGTTTGGGAAAATGATGCTGGCAAATGAATAATGTGCTCCTGCCAAAACCAAAAGAAATGCTGAGATTGCACCCTGTACAGAGGTGAGAACCAACTCTACTGTTGCTTTGCATTGATTCAAACTTTTTCCAGGTAGAGTTCTGATTTGCGGAGGAAACAGATCCATTTTTACTCTGTTTAAGTGTCAATGAATGGGGAATACACACACAAGATGTGATCTTAAAATTTACGCCGGTTTTGTTTGGAACATTGGGAGAGATTCCTCGTAGAAAGCATAATTGTCTGCACTAGTTTTTAGTTTCTACATGTTGAATGTATACTTGTTCTTCTTCCAAATTGAAATTCCAGTTGTTGTATAATAAGTCAACACATGTCAGCTTGCCAATAATTTGTCTTTTTGCTGGATTCGACGGGATAAAACCCTTCTCCTCAATTCAATATCTTGTCCTGGGTCAATTCTTTTTCTTTTAATCATTAAATGTTAATTTTTCTCATTAAGAATATCGTTCTTGACCAATTCTTAGAACATGAGAATTGGAGTGCAAAACCTTGTATTTTGTTTCTTTGTATGTATTTGTATTTGTATTCCTTCCAAACTGAGCTGTACAAATACAAATATGCAGAGTGCAAAGCCTTGTATTTTGTATATATATTTGTATTGTACATATTTGTGTTTGTACTTTTTATCAAACTGAGCCTGAGCCAGGATATTGTTGCGGAATTTGTGATATAGAGAGCTGTAGGGGTGAGCATTCGGTTTATTTGGTTAATGTACTCTTTTCAAACTGATATTGTTGCAGAATTTGTGATATAAGAGCTGTAGGGGTGAGTATTCGGTTTATTTGGTTAAAAACCAAATTGAATAAATCAAAATTTTAAAAACTGAAATAATAACTGAAATCGAAATTTTTGGTTCGGTTTTTGGTTATTTCAGTCAAAGCCGAATTTTAATAATATATATTCTATTATATAGATTATAACATATAATATATATTATGGAATCAAATTTTAGTATATTATATATTAATATATAATATATTATATATTATAAGTTATATATAACAATAAAAAGCTTGGTTAATTCAATTAACTGAAAATTGAGTTAGCCAAAAACCGAAATCAAAATTTTTGGTTTTAACCCTATACTACTCACCCCTAGAGAGCCGAGGCAATTGTTTCAGGTTGAACTGTGAAAAGATTGTAGTGAAGGGCATAACATTGGTACCCAGAATTTTGCAAAACAAGGGATTTTTAACCTGCATTTCATTTCAGAATTCAGATTTGAATTGTAGACCTACAATAATTCAAATTTATGAACATCTCCACCTATAACACCCATACTTGCGGTGAATTGGCACCTATAACCATTCAAATTTATCAACAGATTTCAGAGATTGGGTGAACAGTAAAAAACCCCTTTTAACAAATGTATCGAGATATGGAAAGCTACTGTATTAGTATGTCAGTCTGCTGATGTATTAGCGAACTTTGGAGTGAATAAGATCCAGACGTAATCCCCCCTCCGAATGTAAGGCAAGCCCTTGGGGCTGGTATGTATGGGGTGGGTATCTTCAGTGTAAGAGTTGTGGTTTCTTTCAATCTTATCGAAATGGATATAAATAGTTTTAACGCCCAAATAGATATGCATAAGTAAAAAAATAAGAAATTCACTATTTATATGAAGTTAGGGTTGGATTGGTGTCATGCTGAGTCAAGCCGAATTTTTTGTTATTTAATTTTGCTTCAATAGAAAAACACAAGGCTAGAGTTCCGGCTTGATCTCAATTTGAGATAGTAATTTATACCATTTATAAAAGTGCAAATGGAAGCTCTTGGCTTTTAGAATTTTCATTGGACAACAATTAAATTGTTCCAACTTTTGAATTTGGTCATAGTCTAATTTTAAGGATGGAAATGTAATTTGAAAAACAGCTTTTCTCTTTATTCAAAATCCTCTCATTAAGCTTTATATTTAAAGTTTAACTCCCATTAATATTTATTGAATCATTTTTTTTACTAGAATGCCCCTATTTTTGAATTTGGTCATTCTCTACTTATGAGGGCATAAAATGTAATTTGAACTATTACATTACCTTGTTCAGTTCCATCTCATTAAGTCCTATCTTAGGGTGTTAACTTCTATTCTTTTATTGAATCCTATATTTAAGATATTATTTTCATAAAATTGAAATAAAAAAAAATCTATCAATTAAATCTACATCTAATACTTTTAATGATATAAAAAACATGTTTTTTAAAATTACCCAAAATAAAACCGTTTTTCATCATGGTGGCAAGCAAGCAATTCGACCATCTAGAGTAAGTGGACTAATCCATGGTGTCATAATTAAATAAAAAATGAAAAAATATAAAAACACAAAAACATTATATGATAATAGATAATTTTGTCAGTAGCATTTAGACACCTATTTAATGTTTTACATTAATCATATTAAAGAAAAATAATTGTGATAAGTAATAATTGTTTTATTGATGTTGGAAATAAAACTTAAATTTTAAAACCAACCAAAAAATGAAATTGTTATCCTAGTAGTAGGTCAACAGTTCAACCTTTTGGGTCACATGTGTCAATCATTGATTTTTTAATTAAATAATAAAAATACACAAAATATGAAAAAGATAGAAATTTTGTAGAAAACATTTGGACACATCTCTAATATTTTATATTAATCATATAGACATCATAAATAAGAATTGTTTTTAACTTTTTTATTGATGATATAAATAAAGTAGAAAATTTAAAACTAACCTAAAAGTAAAATTGTTTTCTTGTTTGGTGGTAGATTAATTCAACATTTCAGGTCAAATGTGTCAGCTCATGAAGTTATAATGAAATAACAAAATTTTAAAAAAGATAGAAACACAGAATTATACAAAAAATATATAAATTATGTGGAAAACATTTGGGCATATCTTTATATTAATGAACCATAATAAGTGTGACAATAAGAATAATTTTTAGAAATATAAAAGATAGTAAACAATTTTGGAATAATTGTTGTTATCCTTTTTTTTTTTCTTTTTTTTTCTTTTATTATTGTTATTGTTGTTGTAGTTGTAGTTGTTTTTTATTATTAATTTTTCCTATTAATGGCACATGTGGGCCCATGCGGATTCTCATGTGCTTTGATGTGGTGATGTGGCGAGTTTATTTGAAATGTATAATATAATACGTGAAAACCATTGTTTATATGTGTGTGAAATAGGGGCTAAAAATAATGTCATTTACGCTAAAAAAACACTTGTTGGGAAAGTACTTTAAATACCCAATAAATGGTTTGGCAAATGAGTCACCAAACAACATTAAGTGGTTTTTCAAATAAATACTTAGAATAAACACTTGTTGCTCTTTGATTTAAACTTGATATTTTATAGGAAAAATTTTGTTTATATAAAAAAACAAATATTATATGTTGAGATCTTGTTGCTCTTATGATTAGTAAACTTACTATTTTACAGGCATTAAATTGTTTTGCAAGAAAAAGTTGATATTATATGTTTCATTCTTGTTCTCATAGGTTTTTAAGGTCTTCGCATGGGAGTGGTTTCATTTGCAATTATATGTAGCACTCAATATTTGATTATGTAATTGTATAGTCAATTGATATTTTATAACAATGATTTTGTTTAAAAATTGATGATGAAACAAGTTGCTAATGTAGACAGGTTTTTGAATGGACAGGTTGCTTCTCTTTATTTCTTTGTAGCTTTTCTTTTTATTATTTTTTTCCAGATAATCAGGTTGCCCTAGTGTCTATTTTGTTTGTTGTTAATCAGGTTGCTAATTTGAAAATCAGGTTTGCTAAGAATAGTCAGGAATTGAAAATTAGGATACTACTGTTAATGCTTAGTGCTTGGATCTTAGTAATAGGAATTTGGAAATCAGCCTGAGCAAATGAAATCATAAAGTTATGCGGTGAGCAAGTGATGATTAATAGTGCTTAGTTCTTAGTGGCTTTGTTTTAACGGGATATTACTAGCGGACCCGCTGACCTGGTTTCTGGCCAAAAATCATTGAATCATTCAATAATTCATTAATTCGAGCAGTTGAACCATCAAGTTATTGATTCATTCAATGTTTTTTGGACTTTTTTTTTTTTTTTAATTCGAAACCATCCAGGCAATTGATTCCGTTTTATCCTAATTTCAGTTCCTGGCAAAAAATCGTTGAATTGGTCAATAACCCATTGGCCCAAGCGGTTGAACCATTGACCCATTAAATGGTTTTTGGTTCTTTTTTATTTTTTTTTTTAATTTTTGTTATCAGAATGGGCCATCCATTCGAACCGAACTATCGAATTGTCGACCCGAAAACTAGTGGCTAGGACGGTTCCGTTTTCAGGTCGTATGAGTTACATGCTCGAATGAACATGTATCTGCTTAATGGGCTTTACACACAATATTTGCCTGTAAATTTTGTTGTTAGAACGGGTCGTCTGTTTTTTTTTTTAATTTTTTTTAATTGGAAACTATTTAGGCAACTAGTTCCATTTTACCCCAATCCTGGTCCTTGGCCAAAAACCGTTGAATCGGTCAACAACCTATTGACCCAAGTTGTCGAACCATCAACCTGTTGACCCATTCAATGTTTTTTGGTCTTTTTTTATTGTTTTAATTTTTGTTGTCAGAACAGGCCATCCGTTCAAACCGAACGATCAAACTGTCGACCTGAAAACCGGTGTCCAGAGCGGTTCCATTTTTGGGCCGTATGAGTTACACGCTCGAATGACATAACACGTATGATACTACTCACACACTCAATTTTTTGCCTGTAATTTTTGTTGTTAGAATATGTCGTCTGTTTGAACTAGACGATCGAATCGTCAACTCGAAAACTGGTGGCTAGAACGGTTCCGTAATTTTTTATTGTCAAAACGAGCCATCCATTCGAACCGAATGATCAAACCGTCAACCCAAAAACCGGTGGCCAGAACAGTTCTGTAATTTTTTGCTTGTAATTTTTGTTGTCAGAACGGGCCATTCATTCAAAATAGACGGTCGAACTGTCGGTTATCAGAACGTTATTAACAACATTTATCAATAATAATAAGTAATTATACTATTTAATTAAATTAATGATAGTTTTAATAAGATTATTTAGTTATGTTTAATATAACAGTAATTATTAAATTAATAATTTCCAAAATTAAATTAAATTAACAGTATTTATCAGTAATAGTCAGTAATTATAATATTTTATTAAATAATCAATAGCAATACTTTTAATAACATTTTAAATTATTTTTAATATAACAATAATTACTAAATTTATTAACAGTATTTATAATTTTAATTTAAAGTTAAATTAAAGTAAATATCTAATTATTAACAATATTTATAATAATAGTAATTGTTAATTATAATCATTAATTATATATTTATTAAGTTATTATAATAATCAGTAGTTATTAAATTATAGTAATTAAAATTAATTATTGTAATAATTATTC